CTGCGGGGTTGTGGCGGGGGGAGGGAACGAGGGGGATTGGCGTTGGGGGTGGGGGTGAGGGGGGCGAAGGTGGCGGGTTATGGGAATCTGGTGTTGGGTGGCTCCACGAAACCAGGATAGCCCTCGTGTGGTAGGAGGGCACTCCTATATACCTTCCATTACAAAACATGCAGCAACTCGGCCCAAATCGGCGCCTTTTCCCATCTGGTTTGTCGTGGCCCCTATGCAAAGATGGCTTTCTCTGTCAAGAAGGAGCCCAAGATGAAAGCCAACCCAAAGGCTAAGGGCAGGGCCAAGGCCGTGCCCAAGGCCAAGGCTGTGCCCAAGGCCAAGGTTGAGCTCAGGCCAGCCGACCCGGTTCCAATGAAGCGGGAGCCGATGAAAGTGGAGCCGGCCACGGAAATGGCAAGTTGCAATTCAGCAGAGGGCAGGTCAGCCTGCTGCTGACAAATTTGAAAAACCAGATCAAAGCTAAGAAGGCATCGGAGACACACAAAGCCAACGCCACCAAAGTGTTGAATGATGCAGCGTGCGGGCAATCAGGGTCAAGCTTCCGGGTGCTGTGGCGCTGTGGGGCGCTGTGGGGCGCTGCGGGACGCTGCGGGCGCGCTGTGCGTCGCTGTGGGGCGCTGCGGGGCGCTGTGGGGTGCCTTTGGAGCGCTGTGACGCTGTGGAGCGCTGTGGGGCGCTGCGGGGCTGTGGGGCGCTGCGGGGTTTTTCCTTCCCAGCGACAACAGAAAGAAAAAAAACACTTAGCACAATCTGGGTATTGTGGCCTGTCTCACCGAAGTTCAGGGTGATTGGAGTATGTTTAGCACACTGAACCTACCCGGCTGGGGTGGCAAAGGCGCCATCTGCCATATGCGCGGCTGCACAGCACACAAGTTTCGCCGGATGCACCTCGGAGGCCAGGGCTTGGCAACTATTTTTCTTGCTAGTAAGGCTCTCCTACCTAGGAGAGCCCTAGGAGAGCCCTCCTGCATACTCTATATAGTAAGTGAAACCTTTTTTGTTTTGGTTTATATAGGAGGGCTGTCCTAGCTTTGAGAGCCCTCCTGCCTGTTTTGTGTTGGTTTGAACCGTTGTTAGGTCGGAAGTCTTGTCCCATGATGCTTTCATTCATCGGCAAAGGGAAGATGGTCAGCCCATAAGCAATATCTGCAGTTGCCCGGCCTTCAAGAACAATGGCATCAAACATGATTGGCTGCATGCCACTGATCTGGCCGACTGCCGACATTGACACCGGGGATGTTGACTAAGGAGAACAAGAAGTCTGGCAAGAAGAGCTGGCCGAAATTACGTGCCAAAGCTGGGGAAATCAGGTCTCTCATCACTTGCACGAGAGAGCTCATCGACAACCATTGCTGCCATGATGATATGTTTGAGACCACAAGATGAGGCAAGCAGCAAGACCCCTCGAAGCATGCTATTCATGCTTGAGCACGGAGAGCTGGTCCCAGCAAAGCCTTCAGCACTGTGCCAGGAAATTTGCTCAGCATTTCTTGGCTCCGACTACGAAGCTTCATGCATTCCTTCAGATTTCACGGTCGCCAGTGCCTCCGTCCAAACATGGACCTACAGGGACGAGAGCTTTGGACATACAATGTCCGAATATGCTCGGAGGAGAGGTGGAGAGTTCACTCCTCTAGCTGTGAGTAGGGCTGTGTTGCTGAGATTTTTTGCAAACAACCCGAAGCCGCCACTGTTGGAGGCATACAAAACCTGAGTGATCGAGATTTCCAGCTGCCATTTTTTTGTATATCAAGGTGTCTATGTTACAAAAATATACATGAACCCTTGCAGGAAAGCTTTCCCAGCAAAGGAGGGCCCTCCTTAATCTCACCATATATTGTATGCATATGTGTTTTCATGCATGTGTATGTATGTATTTAACGTCCATGTGTATACATATATGTGTTTCAGTATGATATATGTATATATATATATGTATATCTATATATATACATATATATATATATATATATGTATATATCTATATATCTATATACATATAATTATATATATATATCTATATATGTATATATATCTATATCTATATATATATATATACCTATATATAACTATACCTATATATATCTATATATATATATATCTTTATATATCTATATATATATATATATACCTATATATATATATATAGTATGCATGCTCGCAGGTATAAGACAACAAAGCTTTTAAAAATACACACCTTAACTGAGGCACTAAGAGCGCACAAAAGCCTTAATTTACACCGAAAGTTCTTTAATTAAGGATTTTGGTTCCCTAAAGGACTTTAAAGCAGGTAAAGCACCTTAATTAAGGTTTGTTTTAAGGAGCGCAGCCGTGATTTAAGGTATGCTGTTTCTTTTAAGGGCTTTTAGATGCTCTGGGTTCGTCTTCACGATCGAATTTAGTCTTCAAGGCCGAGTTTCGTCGTAAGCGCCGAATTTCGTCGTCAGGACCGAGTTCCGTCTTCAGGATCGAAATTTGTCTTCAAGGCCGAATTTCGTCGTCAAGAGTCAGGGCCGAAGTTCGTCTTCAGGATCGAGCTTCGTCTTCATTTCGTCTTCCGGGCTGAGTTTCGTCTTCAGGGCCGAAAACGTCTCCAGGGCCGAATTTCGTCGTCAGGGCCGAAGTTCGTCGTCAGGGCCGAGTTTCGTCTTCACGGTCGATTTTTTCTGCAAGGCCGAATTTCGTCGTCAGGGCCAAAGTTCGTCTTCAGGACCGAAGTCCGTCTTCAGGGCTGAATTTTGTCTTCAAATTTCGTCTTCGCGCACCCATTTGAGCTTCAGCCTGGCGGGAGGGACGAAACCGGTACCCACTTTCCCGGGTCAATGTACCGTTACTCGTACCTTTCAGTCGGCTGACCTTTCTCACTAATTCTTCGGGTGAAAGCTTCCGCGGAGATGCCTCTGGAGATGCCTCAGGTGCTGCCTTCTCCGCGAAGTGGCTAAAGGCTCTTGCTTGGCGGGAGGCCTGCCAACCACAAGCATGTTCGACAAACAGATACAGACGGAGTGACTGAGATGGCTGGTCTGGAGAGCGGCTCGAAGGCCTACGAAGCGAGCTAATCCTCCAAGTTTCGAACGAACCACACCGCAAAATCGCATCAGCGCAAGCACACAATGAATGCATTAGTTTCCCGTCAAGAAACCATATCAGCTCTTTCCAAAACACTACTGTCCACCATAGCAATGGCAGTGATAATCCCTCGTTGCTCCGTGAACTTTTGCCTCGGCGCTGTAAGGCGTGTTGCTTGGACCTCTTGCAGGTTCGGGCATTCGTGGAGCGGCCATAGTTTGCGGCCTCACACGCAGATCCGGATCGTAGAACTACAATTACGGAGAAACCTGCGCACGTGAAGCCTCGCTCTTGCCGTGAACTCCGAATGAGGCCAAGCATCTGCCGTTCCCTTGCTCTGCGTTCTTGCTCCTGCTGTTGTCGAAGCAGCCTCTCCTCAAGGTTGAACTTCAAGTTGGACAGAACAGAAATCGCGTGTATACTATGGGGCAGATCGAAGAAGAGATCTTCGAACCTGTCGGCTTCTTTTCGCGAGCCGCTCGAATTCGCTAGCACCAACCTCTTCTTCCTGCTAGATGGGGAGCCAGGTTCAGTGATCTTGACTAACCCACATACTCGGCAGACAAAAAGGGCATGGTAGAATATGAGAATATGGTAGAAACAGTGAGGGCTGACGTGACTGCATCCCTCGAGAAATTGGAAGGCAACAGGGTTTTGCCCAGGCTCTTGCTCGAACGCTTGTTGTTCCTCCTCTTGCCTGCAGGAGCAGCCAATGTCACCACTGAGCCCCGGGCGTTTCTGATTCTGTAGCCTGCGCTTGGCAAGCCTTGCCCTGGTGTCGCCCGTCAGCAATCTTCGGCAGCTTTTTTTAGGCAGGGAACCCGACATTTTTGAGCATTCAGGATTGATGTCAGCTACGCCTGGACTTCTGAGATCCCACCTGCTGGAACGAGTGGTATACTTCTTCACTTTGGACCGAATGGCTTCTTCCTCAGATCACAGGAGCATCCGTGGGGACCACCTGAACTCAACAAATCTCGAAATCATGCCTGAGGCCGTGCGTTTCTGATACGTTCGCAGAGGCTGGGTGGGACAAAGAGAACCCGAGGACGCTAAGCCGCCAAACCAAGCCGAAGAGCGCCGCTCTCTGGCGGCGGGGCGCTCGGAAGGCGCTCTCGCGGAGAGAGCCCCGGGCCCGGGCCCGGGCCCTGGCGACACTTCGAAGTCGGGCAGTGGGCAGTGCAGGGTGCGAGATGCGGTGCTGCGATGTGCTGCGCCTGCGTGCCAGCGCCTCCGCAAATGCTGCAGCTGTCGCTGTCTATGCCAGCACACATCCAGCAGAGGTCCATCACTGCAGCTTCAGAGCAACATCAGTTGAGGGACATGTTCGATGGTGCATGGTGAAGCATGGCGAAACCTCCTAGCAAGACTAAGACAGGTCTGACGGCACGCTTTGTGGGACTCCTCGCTGGCGTTTGCGGCACACCCTTTTTCGCAATCAGCACTGCTCGAAAGAGTTTAAGCGAAGACCAAACCTGGTTTCCATGACGTTGGCCCCTGCATGTGTATCTGGGCACCTACGTATTCAGAATCGCAACTGGTGACATTAAGGCAATGAGCATGAGCCAAGCTTTCGAATCAGACAATGAAAGTACTGATGTTCTGCGGCTGGTGATGCACGAAGTGAGGCTGCTGCAGGAATTGGACGGCAGCAGCTGTGAACTAGTGAGTGCACTGCAGCACCACGACCACTGAACTCACGTCATCACGAATAGAAGATGCAACCAAACGCTGTTTTCGCCTGTGACCAGACCGAATCGTCACGCGGTCTTACGCACAACTCCCCCAATGCTCAAGCACGGAGGGTGGCGCGTGGATGCCTGCATATGCCTGCAAACTCAGGGACCACTGCAACCTGTTGTCCAAGCTTTCGAGAGATGCAACAGCGCGAGCCGCAGCAAGAACGGCTGCGATCTTGGTTACCCCGAACCTTCTGAAACGGGGACGGATTCCGAAGAGGAGCTGGTGAGTGCGCTCGAATGCCATGGGGTTACAGCTGGGTCCCTTCCAGTTCTAGCTTGTCTTGACCAAGCAGGCAAACAGCTACTGCCCCAGCTGAAAAACTTGGATGATCGCCTGCAGTTCGTACTCATGAGTAATGCGCACATAATGTATCCTGTTGTAGGCGGTTCAGGCGTATCAGCCACCAGCCCAGCCGGGTCGGTCACTGGCTCGCCGCCGAGGCCGACCACTGTGAGCCACCAAGTTCGAGGGACAACCTCCAGCGCTTAGATGGCCTAGTAACGACTCTTGTTTGCACATTACCATGAGAGTAGCTTCTCAACAAGGGTTATATACAACACATGCAGATATACCCTTTAAGCCAAAGTCAGGGAGTAACAAAACTCCGGGCGCTGTTTCGTTCCAAGCGACACAACCTTAACGGTTGGACGAAACGGATCCAAACCGAAACCAAACATTGCAAAAACCATCTTTGAAGTTCTCAAGTATCGAAGTTCAGGAGATGTCCTCCGTGAAGGCCGATGTCAATGATGTAGAGACAAGGCAGACAATCCCAGCACCCGCACACGGGTGTAACAAGAAGCACCGCATCGGTCAGCCTCGTAGACTAACTCTTGGCCTCCTGAAGGCACTGCAAGAAGAGCGGCTTTTGCATTCTGTTGTTGCGAGATTCCGAAACTGCTGCTAGCGGTATTGATAGCGTCACTATTACCAGCTATTGCTAATCCTGCTGCCTTTTTTCTATGCCCACTAACTGGCCACCTCTGGCATTCTACCAGTACCACCGCCATCATATGACCACGGTAACGACCACGACTACTGCTCCTCCGCACTACGTTAATTACGCAGTCTCCTCAGTGCACAGCAGTTGCTGCTCATCCAGCTCCCTCTTGCTAGCTATCCTGCAACTACTACTACGTACCACTCTCGCACTTCTGCAACCAAAATCACGACCAACAACAATACCCGACACTATTGCTGCACTGCGACTGCGCCTAATGCTGTGTACACTTGACGCCTTGGCTAACTCCCGCCACATGGCAAGATCGTTGTTCAGCACGGAACTGCTCCGGCCGCTATCCTGGCCTGGAGCTCTTTCAAGATCTGCTGGGCGGTCTTCGGCAGCTTCTTCTCTGTGGAACCCACGCCGACTTCAGCCTAGGTCTTTTGGCTGCGAAAATGCGCGATGCTGCAGACATCGGCCGGTTCGTTCGTCTGGCTCCCGACTACCTTCGCATACTTGCAATGGCTTTGCTTGTCGACAGAAGCAGTCAAGGGGTAGCACTTTCTGCGTAGTCGTCACGTGAAGCAGGGAATGGCGACTGCGTGATGAGTGTGAAGTTTGGGACACGCTACGTGAGTCTAGCTGATAGAATATAAATAGGTGATCTGGCAGCGTCGCAACTTGAATGCCACTCTTGGGTCTCCCTGCCTGACGTTGTGAATCCTCGAACTCCTGTCCACCGGGATGGATGAGACTTCAGCAAGTACGACCGCATGGGGCATACAAGACACTTCGGGTCAGTCTCCGGTAGACTCCGGTAGACAAGAATAAGAGGCATGTCCCTTCGAGAAAGCTCTGCTGACCAAGAAATCTACGTAACTCAACTGATAACACAATTGCGCTCTGTGCTTAAGCCTCCTTCACCACGTGAACATAGTGATAATTGTCCTGCATTGACTGACGGAGAGCTTTTGCCGGCCTCCTTCGTCATCTTCCAGAGTGGCTCGACACACTCCGCATCTGAGGATTGGGTTGGAAGAGAAGGACTCGGAAGAGTTGTCCGCAAACAACATTTTTTCGCCCAGCACAGTCCAGCTCCGTAGTGGGGTGTATATTCGGTACCCTCCACCTAATTTCCACTTTTTGCAGCCCCGCCCAATGACACAAGTTTTTGGCGTCCCCCCCCCCCCCTCCCACGCACCTTCCTCCCCCGTCCCCCCTACCCTTCCACGTTTTCCCCTCCCCGCTCTTCCTTCCAGAATTCCCGCCTTCCCTCCCCTTCTTTCCCTTTTTGGTTCGTGCAATTTTGCAGCATTCGGTGCGATTGTGGTTGTTACTGCTGGCCACGGCATAACTTACTATCTCTCCGCGGTTTCTCTCCACCCAATCTTGTTTCCTGCACCCTTCCCCCAACCTCCTGCAAGCCGAGGCAGGCGGCGTAGCGTTAACAAAAACCTATAGACGTGCTTCCTGAGAACTGACGCATGCGCGCGCACACACACACACAAACACGCACACACGGAAGAGTTCTATTAGTTTACAGTGGCATAGATGATAGCAATCCGCAACTTTGGTTGAGCAAAAGTCCTGAAGTTTGGAAAGTGGGTGTTACTTTCAGCTGCGCACTGCGGTGCCCAGGAGCGTATCAGGTTGAGGTCGGGCATTCGCTTTCGTCGACGGGCGAGGGGCTCATCGCATGTTCTGCCCGCCGGTTATCATAGAGTTCAAGGAAAAGAGGAGCAAAGCAACATCAATCAATAACATGATCATAGGTGAGATCATGCGACATGGGAACAACCGTCAGACCCCCGTTGTGCAGCGAGGGTTTTGACACACAAACTGCCGCGATAGGCGGGCGAGAGGCACTCAGTCAAGGTGCAACGTCGCATGCTCTTTGCATCCACTCCCCAGTCGCGCACAAGCGCGCACACAAACACACGTGCATAAAGATGCGACGTTGAAGAAACACACATCGAAACGCACCCCCGACCGAATCTGGGAGGCGTCCCATGTGGGATAAAACCGGATGATCTCCACGCGCAAAACCAAGAAGTGATTGTAATCACTGTGACACAAAGTGCAAACGCGATCGAACGGACGGCTGATGAAACTTCCCGCGACTACTGTCCTGAAAAAATCGGATCAGTGCTGCGTGACCACAGGCTTTTAGCATATGTGCCGCAATTTCTTTGCCGCAGCATCTTGTGCCACGGCAGAATGCGCTCATCAACGGCGCGGGCATTGCAAGATGGCCAGCCAAGCCTTTCCTGAAGGATAATCGAAGCCGAAGCGGTGTCACCCAGCGCTTGACGGTCGAAGCATAGCGAAGCCATCCCCAGAGAAGGCGTTGCACTGTGGGCTTCAGCCTCTCTAAACGGAAGCCAGGCGCGTGCAGAAGCGCTTCATCACTGCAAAAGCCGCAGGCGAAACAATCATGAAACTAAGGGCGCACTCCGTCCCTGCAGCAGCACAAGCCCCGTATCGTCGCGTCTTCCCTTGCACATGAAAATCGTTTGACAATTCCATCAGTCTCATAGGCACCGCCCCGGCATCGATTCCGAAGTAGCGCGACAAGCTGCTTTGCAAATCGAAATCGCGCCGTCTCGTCAGGGTGCCTGGACATGCATCGGAAGACAACAATGTCTTGCACGTGTTAAGCGAGAACATGCATAAAGGAGCCGAAATCAGAGATTAAGCTGAACAACACTATTCACGAGATCCGGTGGTTGGTTGGCTGGCTGGCTGGCTGGCTGGCTGGCTGGCTGGCTGGCTGGCTGGCTGGCTGGCTGGCTGGCTGGCTGGCTGGCTGGCTGGTTGGTTGGTTGGTTGGTTGGTTGTCTGTCTATCTATAGATTTGGCCAAACGTTTAATTTCTCTGTTTGCATGTCTTGTAATTCGTTTATGTAGGTATATATTTTGTTATCTCGTACTTTTCTGGCCCGGTTGAATCTGTATAGATATTATTTAGGACAAGGTATTATATTGAATTACTAGATAATATTTTCTCAGCACAGCAACTTTGCCCGATTTTTTACCCAGAGAAGCTGGAAGGGCTCAAGTTGGCAGCACGAGACGTGCTCCAGAAGAGGGCCGTCACGGCAAAGGTGAAGGCCTTCGCCCAAGCATTTGCGGCAGGGCTAACAACAGGTGGGCTTAAAGCTGCCAACTTACCAGTCGCCAACTGTCCAAAGACTGTTACCCCCATGGCAAAGCCACTCGCCAAAAGGATGCCAGGGACGCCTGGAGGGTGGTCACGTGGGCGGGGAGAAGCAGCTGAACCAAGGTGGCTCTGGCGTCATCCACATACACTCGGGCAGTTGTTTGGTCACGCCATCGGCCTTGTACGACCGTGCGCCCCAGCCCATGGCGTTGATAAAAGTATAGGTGCCACCGCGACGGAGGCAGTACGGGAGATAGTCCACAGCCCGCAGCCCAATGCATCGGATCAAAGATGCGAACTCACGCCTAAAGACGAGGGGCAAGGGCTCGTAAATCCTTTCACTCGGGCTTGCCCGGAGACTCGGGCTTACCCGGTCGAGAAGAAACTGTAGGACTTGAACCAAGAAAGGTTCATGCAGAGAAAGGGATTGCTGCAGGCCTTTCGAATTTTTCGAACTGATAATAGCGATCACCACTGTCCCTTGCTCGGGAAACACACGCACGTGGGAGAAACGGAGCGTGAGAAGCTCCATTGTTCGTAAGAAAAAGGCAAACCCGAGAAGAACGAGGAGCGCCAAGTCAAATCTTTTGACCCGTGCTGCAGCCGCAGCCAAAGCTTTCGCCCCCAACCAGGACAAAGGGGTGGTGCGGCGAGGCAGGTGCATGCGCTGCCAGTTCCTCAGGTAAAGTTGAGAAGTCTGGAGGTGCGGACGGCGCCTTGGGTAGAAACGTTTGAGCGCACTAAGGACCCATCCTGCAAAATAAACACTGTCACCTTCCTGGAAAAGATGATTGATGTATTCAGCCAGGTTCGTCCAGCTGAACCATAGTATGCGGAAGCCTGCCCAGTATAGGGCGCGCATATACGCAAAGAAAGCCGACACAGCTTTTTCGTAAGACCGGCGCGTCCGGTCAGTGATCCCCAGAAAGCGGAGATGATCACGCCGGCTCAAATTTCCTTGACGCACCATCTGAGAAGTTCCACTTGCTGATGGTCCACAGCGTCATGGGGATGATGCCGGATGCCAAACTTACTGCTGCGACGCAGCGGCAGACTCTGTTGAGCCTCTTCGACGACGAGCGGCCCTTGGCTAAAACGTAAAAGGTGACCAGTGAATCAACTACGTAGAAAAAGCGCCGGCCATGTTCTTTAGGATCTCTGGCCCGGCGACGGAGCTCCTGAGGAAAGCGGTGAGCTCGAGGATGTTGATGTGCTGCGGCTCTTTCCAGCGACATGACAAAATGTCACGCCAGAGCCAGCGAAAAGTTGGATAGGGACCGGGGCGATGGCCAACCACATCTGTCCCTCGGTCGGTCAAGCGCACATCACATCCTGTGTGACAAGCGTGGCGGAGAAGCCACCGAAGATGCTGTGCTTCCTCCTGGGTGTTCATGGTCTCCAGGAACTTGATGGTCTGAGACACAGCCCAGTCCACAGCCAGGTCATCCTGAAGCCCACGAGTTGCACCCTTGAGTTGGTGGTGCATCAACCCCTCCAGGGACATTCCTTTGATCCCGAAGGGCTCGGTGTACCTGGCCGAGCGCTCATCATGGACACCTTCCATGGAAGCCAGGCAGAAAGACCAAGGGATATTCATCGTGGTTCTCAATGTCAAAGCTTGGGCTCTGCCTCGGCACTTCAGGCTGCCTGGCCCACTGGCTTGTGGAGGACCGCGTGCAGTGATTTCGAGTTGTGATCTCCGCCGTGGCAGCAAGGGAGAACGTGGACCACTGCCATTCACCTCCGTGGAGGGCTTTCGCTTCTGGCAGGCTCCGAAGGAACGAGTCGTAGGGGTGTTTCAGAGAGGCGAAATGCCCCCTCTGGTTGGCTCCAGAAGGCCCGTGGTGGATCTTTTTGCCATCGTGTTCGCTTGCCTCAGGGCCACAGCCTCATGCTTGGGAACATTGGTGTATAGCCCCCAGGGAAGTCGGAGTCCCTGAGACGGCGTGGACCATTCACCCAGCGCCGCGGAACTTCGAAAAGGTCCATCTTTCCGGAGCCCAGTGAGACCACATGAGGCTGCCCTCGGACTCGTCATCCTCCAAGCGCTGCTTACCCGCCTCGGTCTTGAAGTCCCAATCACAACCGGGAATTTCCCAGTCCAGGCAGGGGTCCTGGGTGTCTATTTTTTTTGAGGCCGGCAGCTTTGGACAGGAGAAAACCTTTGCCCGAGATCCGGCCCCCAAAGAGGTGGGCACATCTTCCTCCCGCACTTATGGGGACAGGGTAAAAGGCGCCAGTTTGGCTCCGTAAGCTGCCCGGAGCATAGGCCACATGTGTCCGTTGGTTCAAGGGGCTCGAGAGCTGCTTACCAAAGTTTCTTGGCAGCCCTACCGGTATCACATGCCGAGATGAACCGGGCGTGGTTCTGCGATGGCCTTCCCTGCTCTTCCACCGCAATCTCCTTGCTCATGTAGCGGATCTCATCGAAGTTGTCGAGATATAAGATGGTGTGGTCGACCCCCTTCTGGGAGAGGCGCATCTTTGCTAACATCCCCGTGGGGAGGAATCCTTGCGATCTCATATGAGATGTGTCTGATGGCTGCCATGTCCAGCCCACAGGGACCACTCGAAGGGCTGGCCTCACCATCGTTTTCGAGGAGAGGCGAACGCGTAACGGCGTCCCCTCGAACCTTTTGGCAAAGCTGAAGAGCGGTGCCCAGGAGAAGGGTAGCCGGAAGAGGTTGAAGGCGCTTTGCAAGTCCTCTGAGTCTAGGACCAGGTAGCTGCCCAGGCCTTGGCCATGCCATTATGACCTTGCCAGCCTCGAGGTCCTGCACGTGCTCCACGGGCTGCCCAGCGTAGTCAAACTTCTTAGACGTAAGCCGGGACAGTGCAAATATTCACATCCAGACCAGTCAGCCTGTCCATCTGCCCGCCCAGCTTGGTGAGCGTACCCAGTTGGCAGACCGTACGTGTCTCATGGGAACACAGACTGGTTTCCCCCACCCTGCACAAAGGGCCGTGCGGACCCATTCGACATTATCCTCCGTATAATGCCAAATTGCCCCGCAAGCACAAGGGCCGGGTGAATGGGCAAGAAGTCCTTAGCGTGCTGGGGTCGGTCCACGGCAGAAGAGGAGAGCTCGGCGCTCGGGGACAGCTTCTCTGGGTTGCTGTACTCCCGTACAAACGTGCCGAGGGGCGACTTGAGGTTGATCATGGCACCCAGGAAAAACTTCCCCAGCGACTTCACCTTGTGCCTCTCCAATCCTTCATGGAGAGGCCTGCAAACAGGCCTGCCCAATAATGACCTGAAGCATCCCTCCCCGTAAAAAGACCCTCATCATCACTATCTCCGAGCTCCCCGACGTCAAATTCCAGAAAGCCCTCGCGCAGCATATCAGATATATCGCCCCGTGGGGGGGTACCTGGCTCATTTTGGTGGGGGGGTCAAAGTCAGGGATCTCGGTCTTGACCTCGAGCTGTGGCACTACTCGGCCGGCGCCGTGTCCTTCCCCTTCCCCGACTTCCCTTTCTTCAGGTCCTTTCTCCTCTTGAGGTCCTGCCTCGCGTCGCCTCGATCTTGCCGTGACCTTTCCCGCTCTGGAGCTTCTTCATCCTCAGCTCGCCGGTTCCAGAAGTTTCGGGCCCTCTGGCTCCACGCCCTGTTCCACGACGCGTCCGTGGTGCTCAGCTCCAGGGCCTTAACCTATGCGCCAGGGTGTCCGCCGTCATGTGAGGACGCCCTGCAACGATCTGGCGTGAGCGTCCTCACCCGCAGCTGCTGCGGGCCGAGCACCGTCAGGACCCAGTTCATCGCGACTGGCGGCGTCCAGCCCTGACCTCTCTTTTCAGGATCGGCCCTCCCCTCCTTCCCGACCATGGCTTGCATTCTCTGAAGCAGCCGTGCCGCCAGTCTGCCCGGTCGCTTCAGAGCGTAATCCTGAAGCTGCAGACTGGCTCCATTGCCGGAGGATGGGCCAACTCCTGGCGCTTAACCTTCAAGTGGAGCCGCGATCGTTGCCTCGTACTCGTTGCCCTCTCCCGCTGCCAGGAGGTCGTCCACGTGGGAAAGCTGATCCCCACCAGATCGGTTCCCTTGACCAGCTAGAACAGAGCAGCCTCGATCTTGGACATCACCCATTCATGTTTTCTCAATGATGTCCTGAGCAACTTCTTCCACCATGACCTTCCTGCGTCTTTGGTCCCATCGATGGACCCCTTTGCACGGAAGAGAGCGTTCTGAGCCACGCCGCGTGGAGATGGGTGGAGGAGGACGAGGTGCCCTTAGGATCAAAAGTCTGCCTATCCCTTCAGACTCCAGGGTCGAGGCATCGCAGGCAGCAAGTCCACTTTTGAAGAACGGCAACGGCACAAATGAGGTTGAAGGCAACGAGGGACGTGCTCAAGCTCCTGCACGGCATCGAACTTTAGCCAGGATGCCATTCCTTTGCCATCCAGGCCTCGAGCCCTCCCCCTGTCCTCGGGCTTGAAGTCCTTGAGCTTTATCTCACAGCGAACGGCCTTCCCAGTCAAGAAGACGTCCGCCGGGCATAGGCATATATAGTTCATCCCGGAGAAGGGTGTCTCGGGGCCGCAAAGGCAAAGGTCGCGGGGAGGCACGGCAATGATGTCCTGGTCCTCTTCAGCTAAGCCGGGAAACGGCGGCAGCTCAGTGTCAGCAGCAACGCGCACGCCATATACCCAAGCCCTTGGGACCTGGACGCATGGCCTCACAATCCCCAAGGCTGTCTTTCGACGTGACTACCGGCTGCGGAAGGACAGCTGCCATGCCCACACCTGGGATGATGAAGTTCAGGCCGCGTGTTTAGAAGGGGGGCCGTGGCAAGGGCAAGAGGCTACTACGTGCTCGCAGTCAACGAGGCCAGCCCCGATGACCCGGAAAACTACGAGAACGACGCCTACTACGAGGAGCCCGACGGCGGCGACGGCGATGACAACACCACCGTCGGAGACCTCTACGATGGGTCTACGGACAACCTGGGGGCAATGCTCCAGGACTATGACCTCGCCGACGCCTTTGCCACGATCATGCAGCGCAAAAAAAGCCGCCGAGTTCACCTGGAAAGCCGCATCGACAAGGCCAACGAATCGAAGCGGAGCGCCACACACTTCCTCAAGCAGGTGACTCCTTGCACCGCCTGTGGGCAGAAGGGACGTTGGAATGGAGACGACCAGCGCCCCAAGAAGCGGGACAAGAACGGAAAAGGGACACCAGCCCTAACAAGGCCAGGACCGCATCGCCAAAGAAGGGGCCAAGAACAAGCTACTTCGTGCTCCCCGAAGGCCCCGGCGACGAGCAAGAGGGCGAGAGCTACTTTGCCTACGGCGGCCCCGACGAGCGAAAGGTGATCCCGGACAGCCTCGCTGACATTGACCTCATCCCCCGTGGCATCTTCTCGAATGCCACCGAGGTGAAGGGAGAGTCAGCCGACATATGTTCGTCGTGAGCCCCCTCTCCGAGCAGGTCTGCGAGCACAGCGTTTACTGCGCAGGGGAAGAGAAGAATACCAGGGAACGGGCATTCCCGGACCGTGACCTGCAAGGCGCCCGAGTGTGACAAAACAGTCTTTTCGGCCCGGCGCGAGAAACCCGAGCAACTGTACGTGGAGGTTCTTGGTGACCGTTGCCCTGTGCACAAAGTGGGGCAGCAAGGCAAGGTCAAGGGCACTGAGCCAGCATGTGGCGCGAGTTCGGGCCGACTACCTGGAGGAGAAGGAAGCCGGGGAAAAGGGCGGCTCGAGAAATCCGTGTGATCATTCGGGGCGCTTCCCCGAAGAGCCTTGCAGCCGGACCCTGTGATCAACCACCCGGCTGGATCGCTTGTGCCTGCGCAGCACGAGCCCGGCGAGACGGCTACATCCTCCGGCGCATACCCTACGGTAGCCGGCGGCGTTGGGGAACTGGATCCGCAGGGCGTGCGATATCTTCTTGAAGTCGTACTCGTTGTTCACGCTGCTTAGCACGCTCAGTTGTTCCTTCGCGTCCAGGCCCCCGAAGGCAAGAAGCATATTGCTCGGAAGTGCTCCGGGATCTTGGAGTCGGGGAGCACCTCCTCGAGCCTCTTGAAGTCTTGTTCTCGCCGAACAATGTACTGCTGCATGCTCTCCGTGCTCGTCCTCCAGACGTTCGGAGAAACGAACGCGACAAAGAAGAGCTCATTCACCTTCACCGGCTTCTCGGCCGCGATGCTCTCCTGGAGGGTGTTCAGGAAGTGCTTCAGCCCAGCGTCCGTAGGCTTGGACTGGGCATCGCGGGTGATGAGCTTGTCGTGCTTGATGAGGCGAACGGCCTCGTAAGCTGCTCCTTGCAGTCCGGACCGAAGGTGGGCTGGAGTAGCAGCCTGGGTTTCAGTTCCTTGTGTTGTCCCGTGCCACAAGTCCCAGGCCATCTCACAGTACTCCTCAAACTGGTCTGGGTGGCCATTGATTGTATTGTGGCACCCCGAACCTATCAACCTCCAATCTCGAAGAAGAAAGCATCAAGTAGTCGCCTTGGAGGTGCCGCCGGCCGAAATCGCACCACTGCGTCGCCGGGCTGACTTGGAAAGCGTAGGCTCAAAGCTCGGACCGGCAGGGCAGGTCCGAAGCGGCAGGCCGGAATGAACCAGCTGCGCTTACCATCCAAGTAACCAAGACGGCGCAGGTGCACGACGGCAGCTATCTTTTTCCTTGAAGGGCACCCTCGGTAAAGCCGAATGGCCAAGGAAGAGCATCTGTGCACATCTTCCGACAAACTGCCAAACAGCATGCTGACATGGTCCTTAACATGGCTGCTTCTAGGGTGGAAGTTTCTCAGTATATTTGCCAGCACCCGGAATGCAAAGCGACCGATTCGCCAGCTTGTTGCGCAGGAAGTCCGCTGATCGTAGGTCTTATCGGGGGTGTCTTCCATGCCTACTAGTTCCCTTGTGTAGTTGGACACGACTCTCCTAAGGAGGGTGCAACTGTAACTCATCGGTTCGCCAAGATGCTTGTGGTCGACGGCTCTCAAGCGCTGCAGGGCTTGTGCGCATACAGATGGTGCGCGAAATCCTCCCGTGAAGCGGTGGGCTGCAGGATCTTCAACTGGTGAATGGGCAACCCCCGCCGCTTCGGGAATCCTGCCGTCTGTTACGATGTCTGCCAAGTGTGACCTGTTAGCGACTCTCGACGAAGCGGTGAACGAGATCAGCTGCACATTGCGGCGCCTTCGCTCCGGTCGATGGGCGAGGGGCTCATCAGTGAGAGAGGAACAAAAGACATCGATCGGGAACATGATCATGCGACATGCCCACAGCTCGCAAGCCCCCAGTGGGCAGCGCAGGGATTCCCACCAACACCTACGCCTACACCTGCACATGCGCGCACAGATGCACAGACGCTAGTTCAGACGATTTTTCATAGTGCTGCAGTCTTTCGCTAGTTGCAACTGCACAAGGTACCAACATGTGACAATCGCCTCTGCCCCCCCTTCTGAGCGGACGACTTGGGAAGAAAAGCTGCTTCAGCTCAAAAGCATCGCTGCCACACCTGACGCATGAGCTTGGGATCGTGAACATGGCCTGCAGGTTTCGGAGGGCACATCCGTTATTCTTAAGCCAGGCGACCAGTCGGGCCTTCACGGAAACAGAATGCACAATTGTTTATATCTTCGAAGCGGGCATTTTGATACGAGTCGCGCCGACCGTCCAACGGAGCAGGCCGCCCGTGTGCACGGCAAATGCCACAAGTGTCTCACAGAAGTCTTGCAGCCGCAGGAGGGTCTTGCAGGAGGAATCCCTACAAAAGGGAAGCCTGTGACGAGGCTCTCTATTGAGGTTCAGGGTCCGGGGTATGACACAAGCTCGGTGCTTGAGGGCGCGACACATCCGCATACGACACAAGTCCCACGGAGCGTTCCTGGTCGGGAAGGGCCAGGGCTGGCCATGGCCCATACAGAGCATGTCCACCGGCCTTGAAGTCTGAGTAGGTGATGTTCAAGTAGTACAACGTCTCAGCTGGACACGGCTAAACGTGCGCTCTTCAGTCTGGATGGAGATGGGAGTTGCAGTTGGAGTTTTCTACGCACAGGTCTTTCAAGTTCAAAGCACAAGTGTCTACAAAACAGTTTCTGAACGTCCGTCCCCAGCAGAACTCTGGAACTTCGTTGCTCCAACGCTGCAATGTCAGCACCGTTGCTCGGGCCCTCAACCCGTGTAACCCGCGGCCTGCTTATAAGCACTTGGGAAGCCGCCGCTTCGGATCTCTGGACAGCTTGGAGAATGTTGGTGATACTTACTTGATTTCGGGCGCCTTCAGCCCTTTTGCCCTAGGCATCTCCTTCCAGTCATGGCATTGGGCGCCCAGACCAAAGCAAGGCCGATGCCCACGGGGACAAAGAGCCAGTAGAAGCTCCTGGGCCGTGGATGGCCAAGCCGAATGGTGCTAGGTAGAGTCGAATCTGCGTTACTAGGCTCTTCCACCTGACCTGCTATGTTTCTTCGTCCCTTTCCTACAACAAATGCCAACCTGCCAGAATCGCGCAGGCACTGCAGGCAAAATATTATGGACCTTCTAGTTTCAGTTACGACGAGAAAGAGCCTTGGCTTGTGCAAGATGACCTTGAATGGCACAACATTTCAGGAGGAACCTGCCGTCTACACTGGGGAGTAGGCGAAATCGACCTGTCGCTTCGCTCTTCTTGTTCAAGGTCTACGCCGCTCATGTAGTTTTCCAGCTGGCAGCAGGGAATCACGTGGCAGCGTGCAGGTGCAACGGATCCGCACTCTAGAACAACATGTCACTGTGGGCCCGTAACTGCAGGAAACTATCAGGTCAAGCTAGCACAAGCCTGCTCTTCACGACGGCGGATAAGCTCCTGGGCCCGTCTGGTGCCAGAGGGCTTCTTAAAGTGGAGGGGGGCCTTTTTGCCGACCTGCAGGCAAACGCGTACTCTGCCACGACCAGCAGGACAGTGGCACACAAACACAAAATACACTCTGCACGCGCGCGCACGCGGATGCACAGTCGGCACAGAGACGACACAGTCTTATTGTACAGGGAGCACAACCAAAACACTTACAATTCACATCGGTGCCTTAGCATACAACCGCGACTTCTACACTGGTACCACATCCCGGAACCTCGCATGCTTTCTGCCAAGACTACTTGGCTCGATTTATGTTCTTCACGCTCTCACTGCTTGCATGGACTACTGGGCGCCTTGCCAGGCCTCGATGCATGCATTAACAAAATTCAGTTCCACCGTATGTGGGAGTGTCCGAACCCCTCGCACCGGAAGCCACTCCACCGTGCCGAAGAGATGCAGCTGCGACATCCTCTGGAGACATGTACCCCTTCATCGATTTCTCCTGCACCGCGGGCTCGACGCTTTTTGGCCCTTAAGTCTTGCTGGACAGCATGTTCGAATACATCGGTACATCGCTGTCTTATCTGAGCTGCACATCTAGACGACGAATTATGTTCTGAGCGCTTGGACATGGCTACAAGTAGCAAAGTTTTCTGGGAACAGGGCGAGATCAAATGAAGATGTGGCCTTCTCCGACACTTCCACGCTAGCGATCTCATTGTAAGCCTTCCAGCAACGTTGCAGTGGATGCATGTGCTCTCTGCAAATGATATCCAAGTGATCAAGATTGTGCTCGGAGTAGTAGAGGCTTCAAGAATCTGAGGTGCTCGTCGACCTCTTGTTTCGTGTCAGTGTGGTTTCATGTAATTGGAGACTTCAGTCGTCAGCCTTCAAGTCGCCTGCGACTTTTCTAGCAAAACGCTGCAGGTTGCCGGCCTGGGTCTTCTGCTCCTTCTGAGCTCTTCGAAGAACAAGCTCGTTGTGTTCTGGGAGCCGAGCACCTGTCCGCCCCCCTCATGGAGGTGTGGAGACTCAGACACAGCAAGGCCAGGGGCCCTTTCTTGCGTGGGCTGGCCTGTAAAATCGCTGCCAGGTGAAAATTGCCAGCCGGCCTTTAGCGGCTGACTGCGGACTGCAAGGAAGGTGGTGTCAGAGCTTCTGCCATAGCAGTAACAGCAAAGAGTCCGGGCCGGGGACCATGCAAATCATGCATGGAGATGTTCTCAAGAAGAACTTAGGACTTAGGGTCAAGATGCCCATGGGCACCGGGAAGTCGCCAGCACGACAGCTTCACAGCGGGCATTGCCCAGGACTCGCCGGCGAAGTCAGGCGACCAAGTTCGACAGCATTAGCATGCAGCATTGGCTACAGCAAACACACCCCAGTGTCGAAACCCGAAGACTCCGATCCTGTCAACTGTCGATTTCCAAGAGCCACGCAACGACAAGTGCCAGCAGCGGAAGGCGCCGCCTCACGGGATCTTCGGAGGGTCAGGGTTTTGGAACTCCAGGACCTGATCTGTAACTGATTTTGCAGAACCATCATAGCATACGTCATTTCGACCATTTCCTGGCCGCTCGGACGACGACATATTAGATGGCGAACCCGCATGTGCCTGCCTTGAGGTGGCAGTGACTGACTCGACTGAGAGGGAACGGACACCATCGTCAGGAGAGGCACGGCACGATGGTCACTCGGCAAACTCTGCACTCCGACGAATGATCAGTAAATACTGCAGCCCTCATGTCGCTCTATCACGGATGTCGGCCTTGACGGCGTCATGGCGCTCGGCGCTCGCCACCAAAAGCCAAAGCAGCGGAGAGATGTACACGAGAAAAAAATGCCCAAGACGCGAAGCCTTTGCAAGCCACACTGCCACACCCGCAGTGCCCCAGGAAGCATAACGAAACAAGTACTCGTAGCAGAAGCAGCAGTGCCTGAAAGTGAGCGCGCAGTGCACAAGCAAACTTTTCCCGTCGTTCCGGGCGAAGCCGCAGTCTGGATTCCTACCCGAGATCCCGAGATCACTTCTTGCAGATGGTGTCAGAGAGGCAATTCGGACCGGCGGCACCGCATTGAAGGTATTCCGTCCTAATGGAGACCACTGCTTACGTTTGAGGGAGCTCGCAGGAAAACCGCCTAGATAATCTGTGCAGCTCAGGAGATGATCAGGACGAAGTTCGGCAAAAGCAGAAACGAAACACGAAAACAGAGATGCAATGTTGAACTAATGCGCCGGCTTGGGTCACGCTGTCGAGCCCTGCTGAGAATCGCTTCCTGTCGCTGAGGACGCGGCTCGTACTTGATGTAGCTGTTGGAGCATTTGTTGTAGTCCGCCAAATAACAGCCTGCTCAAAGCACGAATGTCAGAGAGCAAGACGTGCATCTTTCGTCGAGACTTCATGGCTTCTGCAGCTCAGTGAAGTAGCGGCGACACAGCTAAACAGTTGGTCATGGCAAAACGTCCGAAGCCAAGCGGCCCTCCACCAACCTCGGGCCACGGATGGTGTGATGCTGCTCGGGTCGTCTTCAAATTGAGAAAGTCTTCAGGCGTTGGGCAGCTACCCTTTGTTTGCCGGCTATCGCATGAATGTCTCTCAACCCTAAACCCAAAAGCACGTCAACTTGCTCTATGCTGGGCACCCCACTCGCCCTTGCATGTCGGGGGCTGGCACTCGCCGTCCACGAGCTGGCAAGAGCGGACATGGTGCGCCAGACACAAACGCAGCGCCTTTGTGCCAGCCCCTGAGATTGGATTTGCAAGCGATACGCAGTAGCTTTGCATTGCATGGGTCAGGGCCGTCTGCAGCTGCTCTGGCGACAGCGACGGTGGGGAGCGATGCTGGCTGCGTAGTGTGCTGGTTGCATAGCTATGTCGTGAAGTCGAAGTGCGGCGGCTGGCTCTAAGGTCGCCGGTGACCGAATGTTCAACACTAAGCGAGAAGATTTCCAGTCGGGTCCCTGATTGTTCAGGCATCTTTCCTTGACAGAGGGCTTGGCACATTTGGGGGCTGCGGGAAGTCTCTGTATCTAAGCATGGGGCATTGGCCCCGGAACTTAAGCTGAAACTGTGAAATCCAGCACTGTGAGGCTTCGAAAGACCGACTTTTCATGACTTTTTCGAAGCATGCAGTGCACCTGGTATCCGTCTGGACAATCGGTTTTGCTGCAGCCTCAGCACGATTCCAAGGCATGACTGCTCCAGATCTCGCAAGCACTTCGGCTGAAAAAGGCCCCAGACACAAACGGAAGCTGGCTACGTAGATGAACAGTGTGGAACGGAAGGAACATGATAGAACCGTGAGAATTGGCAAAGGGTGACCAGCTGCACATACTAGCCGATTCTTATCCTTTGCGGTGGACAGGAAGCTGTGTTTTGTATATATTGCCTCTGCAGAACCTCTGCCTACGCGTCGTCCAGGTGCATCTGACACATGAACATGCTGCAACATGCTCTGCAGCGGCAGAGCTTCCACGGCGACAGTGTCTAAGCCATGCTATCCTGAGGCAAAGGCAAACATCTGCAGCTGTCTCGCCGGCAAAGAGCACCTGCACAAATCTCAGTATATCTCAGTCTGAGACGCAACCGGCCATCGAACCACGATGCAAATTGCGCGCTAGCTCGTTTTTGCGGAGGGGCTACGCAGCCGTGAACCTGAACCGTTGAACCTCCGCAAACAGAGGCGTGGCAGGCTTGCGCAGCTTACTTCTAGTCGCAGTTATTCTTGCCGTTCGAAAGGTCGAAGGTGCAGCACATTATGGACACGGCGTAGCCTCCAGCGCTCGAGCAAGTCATGCCTGCAAAGTTCCGGCCCATGGGACAAGCAGAATGTGACGTTGGTACATTGCCGCATGCCAAAGTCGCCACGGTCATGTCGAGCTTGCATTGGCCCGGCTTCTTGATGCCAAACATGCCCCTGCCAGCTTTGCACGTGATAGATCCGCCGAAGCCAGCACCGGCCCACCAAATGTCCGTAGTGCTGCCGACACTGAATCCAGCTCCCAGCGAGATCGTACCAAGGGGCAGTTTGCCACTTAGCAACTCCTGGAACACGTTCTCGGGTCCAGCAGACAAACCAATAGACCAAGCGACGTTGCCGTTAATGGACCGCGTATAACCCGTGGCTGCGAAAGTGCCACCCTGGCCTGCGCAGCTGAAAGCACTCTCCACCTTCAGATCTTCAGGACGAGCGGAACAGCAACAGGAGATCCAACCTACAAGTACACGTAAAGTCAATCTGCCTCAAGCTGCAAGCCTTTGCTGTAAATGAGCCGTGTCGCAGCTTTCGCCACATCCTCCACCACTTTCTCCACCTCTTTCGCCACATCCTCCACAACCTTCACGACCGCTTCGAAAACGCGACGGCGTCTGCGGCGGTCGCGACGTCGATCCCAAAACACCACTTTGCCTGGTGGCGACCACTCGTACCCGGAAACCACTATAGACAGTGTTGCCATGCCATAACTCATGCCATACACTAGCATGCCATAAAGCGAAGAGAGCAAAACGACCCGAATGCTTGTGTGAGTGTTGCGAGGTGGCCTTCGTCTCCTTCTGCTACTTCTTCAGCCTCTTCTACTAAAGAGAGCGGCGTGCCATCCTTCTCGTCCGGCACCGCTGGCTCTTCGGAACCCAAACGGCGCGCCTGCGTTTGTCAGTACTCACTACGGATGCATATCTCAAGAAAGAGATTCCTGATTGGAGTCGCATGCGCATTGATTGTGGGCGGAATTTGAATGCACAACAACTTCAGACAACTTATCAGATAACGCCGATACCCACATAGAGGGGCGGATGCACATGAGTTCCAAACACACGAGGCTGCTGCAGTGTTGCTTACCGGGACCACCACACTGCCTCCCTGGACTTCTTGATGTCGTCCAACTTGTGTAGGTCCACCAGACGCTTGGCCCGCTCGTAGGGTAAAGACTTCACCTTCAGAAACAAATATATGAAACACTAGTCACTAATGTAATCGCTGCGGGGGAGCTCGCACTGAGGAAACTCCCTGGAAATTTGCTTTTTTGCAAACCCAGTCACGACAGGGCTCGCAAATGCTAGCATGGCAGCGCGGGCACCGTTGTGGTAGCCATAGAAGTGTTGATGAGATGAGTGCTGCTCCTTGTAAGGCCGGGGAAGATGGAGCTACCCAAACCCCGAACCTGAGGACCCAGGCTCCTTGCCGTGCCGCGCATATTTCTCAATGAAGCTGTAGTCTTGAGTGTCGGCCATGAACCTGAACAATTCATCATCACCGAGTCTTCAAAAACCTAGCGCGCGACCGCATCCTGGAAGCTCAACTGTCGTATGATTCTGCCACCGCCGAGCGACCACGAATCAAATTACGAAGGATCTTTGAATTCAACTTCTTATTCACCCGGCGGATGGACACACCCCCACCACCACCACCACCACGACCAACAACCGACAACTAACTACGAACAACTACAAGTAACAACCAACAAACACCAGCAACAGCAACAGAAACAGAAACAGAAACAGGAACAACAACAACAACAACAACATCATCATCATCATCATCATCAACATCAGCATCAGCATCAGCACCAGCACCAGCACCAGCACCAGCCCCAGCCCCAGCCCCAGCCCCAGCCCCAGCCCCAGCCCCAGCCCCAGCCCCAGCCCAACACCAGCACCAGGACCAGCAACAACAACAACAACAACAACAACAACAACCATTCAGTTCAATTTCAAGTGAACGCTGTGCGAGCGTGCTCTGCGCTTTGCGGGCGATTACCTCTTTGGCACTCACTATGGGGTTACAACCGACTTCGGCGCTGGTCTGAATGGCAAGAGTCTGAAGCACCCAGAAAAAACCGGCAATACCGACCCGTTCTGAACTCAGCCTGAGCCTAATCCTGTGGGGGGGCCTGCGACTGCTTACAACACTCTTGGCCTTGACGCGGAGGGGGCCTTGCCACTTATTGTGGGGACAGGCCTTCCCGCCCACAGGCACCCATGGTGTGCATTAATGCCCGTAAATATTTGGGCCAGCACCCGTCCTAAAAAGCAGATGTCGGCTTCACTGGCTTCTCAGAAAAAGTGAAGAGCTGCTCTTCAGCATGCCAGCTTCTTCAACAGAGGCTAAGCGGCCTTAGATATCTTACACAAACACAGGACCCCATGCGAATATCGCAGGTACCTCCTTCATCCGTTTCTGGGGCAAGGCCACTGGCACTTTTTGCTCTGAGGCCTCGCGCTAGCCATTAGCCGTGAGCGACAGCGAACACAACAAAAAACCTAGAAAGAAATTAAAGAAAACAAGTCCTGATCTCCAAGGCCAGTCAGCCCCTATGAAAAAGAGCTGCCTGGCCTATATGGCTTGAGCAGTGGCTTCACTGGGACAATTCACTTGGCTGCTTTGGTAACCTCCGTCACCCTCAGTGTGAGTCATTGCGTCCAATATTCACGAACTGGCAGCCGGCGGGTAGTTCCCGTCTAGTGGCGTCCCACACTACGTAATTCCGGACTACAAGCGATGGGCCGTAAGGGAGAAGCTACTGGTAAGCGGCACGCGGCCTGCGGCAGAGGTGGTCGGTGTACCTGTGACACAGCTGCGCCACGTTCTTCAGGCTGTGCCGGTTGATTTCGTGGCTGTGCCATCAATATAAGCAGCAGAGTCCCTGTTTCCACCACTGGTCGTTGTAATCATCTGGTTCGTCGTCAAAGCACATAAGCCGTCACTC